AAGCAATTGGATAATAGCTTCAACAGTGCTTTGATAGAGAACACAGAACATATTAGATTCCTATATTATAATGTAGGAAAAACAATAAACACAAGTTACAGAGCATCTCCAGGATATTTCCAGAAGTATAAACTGGGGCCTGACTTGAATGAAGGATAAATAAAAGCGAAGTAAAGGCCAAGTAAGGAATGTTGAAGACAAAACAAACAGGGCCTGGAGAAGTTGAAGGATATAAGCATCATCAGACGGCTTGAGTACAGGATGGGAACTGGGTGAGGGGGTGGCTGAGGGAAATGACAAAAGGTGAGGCTGGAGAAGAGAATTGCAGAGGCTAGATCACGCATGACCTTGTGAGCAATCTTGACCAAGAGACCTTGAGGGGCCTTGGTTACGTTCCTATCTCCATGCATTCCACGGCACATAGCACATGGCAGGAATTCAGCCAATCTTTGTTAATAATGAAAATTTAACAAATGATCAAACATATAAGTGAATGTTCTTTTTCGTTTAGGAAAAGTATCTGTGTAACATATACCTATAAAGCATATATGTTTTCATGTATCTATATTTTTATAAGCATAAAATTGAAACCTATTTAATTGGGTTATATAAGGAAAGCTCATGTAAAAGAGACATATTTTGACATTTTATATCTACTTCTGACTTTTGTAATACAGAGTTTGTAAAGTCCAATTCCACTATTGCCTGAATTTGCTTTTCAACAAAAATTACTCTTAATTTTTACCAACTATGTAAAGGTAGTTAACTTATTGATAACCTCCAGGAGCACTGTGGAATACTAAAGTGTATTTTTAAGGCCTTTGCATACCCAATTCAGGCCTTAATTATTACTGTGCAAGGAGACATTTGGCTAGAACTGTCTTTAAATCCAAAAATAGGAATCAGGTAACAGAAAATAAAATTCCATGTAAATATCATCTCTCATTCTCCCCTTTCTTTTTGCCCCCCCTCACTCGCATGCTCCCTCGCTCACCCACACACAGACTCTCCTTCTCATTCCTGCATCTCAAAAAGAAAAGCCAGTAATCTTCTACTGAGAGAGCTGTGAATCAAAGGTTCTTTCTGCAGGGGTAACATCCATCTTTTTGGTTTCCCAGGGAGCAGCTCGGGTCCTTATGTTTTATCCCACGGCCACACAGAGTCACTTAGTCACTAGCCCAGACTAGATGAGCCGCTCACAGAGAATTACTGAGTCACTGAAGGGTGAGAGGTTCCCTCCTGGCCAGGTGCTAAGTGATGCTCCCAAGTGGGTTTTGTGGTTAGAAAACATGCGCTGGATATGAGGTAACCTGTCTGGGACTTCTGTCTCTCCAAGGATCACCTGGAATGATCTGGTGATCAACGACCTGTCTGAAGTTTTGCTGAACTGTTTAGCGGAAGCCTTCCTTTCAGCAGTTTGTATTACTTTAATGAGATTATTGCTCCTTTGCCCTCTGATTGTTCCCAAGCTAATTTTTGCCTGTTTCATATCCTTAACACGAAGGCCTGTCTCCCAGTTCAGAAGTCCTTGAGAGGTACTGAACATAAGCTGGTGCCTGCTAAATCCTTGCTGAGTGAAGAAATGGCTCTACAGGCTTACAGCATGTCCCCTGGGACCTGAGATCTTCAGTTCATCCTGAAGTGCTCAGCCCCACGTCTCCTTCCAGAAAGAGCCCAGCATCAACTGTGGGAGTCGGCAGGCAGCCAAGAGAACCAGGAGTGGCGCTAGACAGGCGCAAGGGGATGAAGGAAGCAGTTTCTGAATACCATCAGAGCCTCCACTGAATTTCCACAGCCTCACCAGCTACCATTTTGGGTAATAACCTAGTATACTTGTCATATAGTTAAATAAAATGGACTTTCTTCAAAGGAAGTGTTTTTAATACAACAATTGTTTTTCTTTCTCCCCTAACCAGTGGATTAAAAACTTAACACATTTACAAAATCTGGCATATTTATATATTGTATCTAAACAGATATTCAAGCTGCATTATAATATAATAATAAAAAAAAACCCGATCCCAGTCTGTCTATTAAGTCTTTGTAAGTCTTTGTGCCATTGTAACAGTAGTGCTAATTATCAAGCAAAGACATGATAATTACGAAGAGCTTTTTTGCTAAGAGAAGGAATCTCTTTCAACACCCACACGCTGCACAATTTCCTATGACCTGTAACACTACTCTGGTATGGCCCAGAAATTTGTATTTCAGGCTGAAAACTGGGAATCATGTTATTCCTCTCTCTTCGCAGATCTTTTTTTTTCTTGTGAGTAAACTGTTTTCAGAGGGTTAAGGGAGAGGGATAATGGTCCAAATGGGAAATATAAAACTAATGACCCTTCATGAAACATATTATGCTCCTCATTAAACTTCCTCAGTTAAGTGTATTCCAGTAAATTAAAATAAATAGGATTTAAAATTTTACCCAGTAGTAAACTATCCTAACTTTCAACTTTGTGTTAGATCTGTTCTAAGAATAGATTTCTCAAGTCTCTGATGCATCGCAGGTTCTTAGCCTGCAACACAATTTATGTCTTCATCTTGCAGAGGTCTTCAAACTTCGTGTGTTTAAGAATTACTTTGGGAAACTTAATACAAATACAGCTTCCCACCGAGATCCCTTCTTCTTCACCAAGGATCTCAGGCACACTGATTTCAGTGAAATGCACTTTAAAAAATACTCTCTGTACTTTTGTGGTACAAACTCTGTCAAGCTTAGGGATCCCACTTGACTGCTTTCTCCATCATCTCAGTTATTACTACAGTGTGGGAAAGTCAAATGGTGAAGACTGTTGTGATTCAGGTAGTTGAGCAGGCCAGTCCCGAATCATGATAGACTTATATGTGATTTTCAGAGAATCAAAGCATCTCTAGTTTTGATCTAGGAGCCTCAGAATGTCTTTTTGAGAGATTCAGAACTTTAATCTATTGATGTTAAGGGCAGGATAATGATGGAATTGCTACTCTACTCTACTATTTTTGCTTTTTAAAGAATTACATTGTACAAAACTTTCAAACTCACTGTCCTCACTTTTGAGACGAGAAAACTTCAGACCTGAGAAGTAGCCAGCTTGTCACCCAGTAAGACTGCACAAGGCAAAGCCCTGTGACCTTCAACTCAAGTGTTCTTCTCATGACTGTGAAGAAGTCTGGTTGAGATACCCATCTGTCCCAGAATATGAAAATCTCTAGAGTATGTAAAGTTTTAACTCTCCTTTAAACCAGAGTATATTCCTGAGCAAAGTCCACAGAAGATAATTTTATAGATTTTTAAACTCCTAGGAAAACAAATCTAAAAAGTCAAGTTTTCACCTAGATTAATACAGTTCAACTGCAGTTCCCACCATATGAAGGACAGGCGCAGTTCAAGTTTGATGACAAATTCCAATGTGATTTTTTTGTTGTTCTGCAATGTTTATTGTAATGATTTTGGTAATGAAGTGGAGTTCTGAGTACAAAGTTCTGTCTTTAGAACTAATGTTAACTGTGTGTGAATGTATACAAGCATGCATGTGAAAGCACTTTCACACATGAAAACACTTATGAGGTTTGACAACTGTTAATATTTATGTATTTTCACATTTATATCTGTGCGTGAATAAAATGCTATCTGAAATACATACTAGGTAAATTTTATAAATGATCTTAAATTTCAAGATCAAGGCAAGCCCACAATTAGAATCATCAGTGAAACACTAAATGTGTAGCAATGCAAATCTGAAAGTATTTTAAAATACGCATATTAGGTCTACTTATCATCTACTTTTGTTTCTCTGAAATTATTTGCTTGGTCTTATTAGGCAAAAAATTTTAAAACAATTAAAAAACTTTCCAGTAAAAGTAAAGAAATGAGAATTAATCTTAGACAGTTATAACAGGTAAAAGAGAGGATGGATGTAAGAGGCAGATTAATTTGATCAAGAACAGAACTACATTTTTTCATAATATGGAACCAGTTAAAGCAATGGCAAGAATAACTTGTATTCTGGTAGACTGATTCTGAATACATACTTCTGAAACATTTACTTTCTCTTAATTCTGGAAAAGCAGTCATAATCAAGGAAACCATGAGGAGAAAGACAGGTGGGGAAAATAGATGGGGACATCTTATCTCTGAATAATGGGGATATATACCTCATTATACCTCTTCCTTTTTGGTTTAGTAGTCATTGCTTACGAAGGGTACTTAAGGCAATAACATTTAAATAGGATACATCTGGGAAACATTTAAAATTGTATGGCAATGTTACTTATGGTAACAGATAAAAAATATTTTTGAGTTTCAACAGGGTGCTTACTTATTTTTAGCACAATGGAACCATGTTTTAAATCTAACTAGGATAAAACACCAAGTGACATTTAGAAATTCATTTTCATCAGATTTCTGACTCCACGTGTATCAATAACGCTATATTAAATTATATGATTTGGGGGAAAAAACACTTCTGGGAGAATAACTATCTTTACTCTTTCAGCAAGACTATATTAGGAAGAATGAATTAGAAAGAAGAGACAATGTGAAAACCAAATGGAAAGTCACGGTGAGTTCACTTTTTTTCTTTGACTATACTGTCAAAGCATGTACTTAAAAGAAATCATGAGAAGTATATACTTTAGTATACACTTAAAAGAAATCATGAGATGTCATCTAAAATGTGGGTGAGCTGTCCCATAGCCACACTTCCCATCTCTGGTGGCCTGACACTGGGGTGGACAAGGACGACTCAAGAAGGATGAGATTGATAATCTGACAAGGTGCCTGGTTTCTAGCAAGGAGCAGACTCACCGAGTCCCTACGGTTATACCACTCTCACTTTGCACTGGGGGATAGAGAGAGAGGGTGGACTAATAACTGGGGCAACGACTCTGGGTACACCTGCGGGCGTGTACACCTTTTAGGAAAGGAAGCTGTGCTCGCGTGGAGGCCGGGAGGAGAGGAGGGAAGGTTGAGGCCAGGCGGCTGTGCCGGCTCGGGGCCCAGCAGGCGCGCGCACGCTCACCTCCACGATGTCCGAGTTCGTCCTGCTCTCGTGCGGCTCGTTGTATTCTGTGTACTTGAGCAGCACCTTGTCCATGTCCGTGCTGGCGTACTGGAACAGCTTGTTGGTGCTGTTGAAAATGATCAGCGCGATCTCACAGTCACACAGCACGCTCAGCTCGTATGCCTTCTTCATCAACCCGAATTTCCTCTTTGTAAACGTCACCTGGAAGCAAGCAGGCAGGCGGGTTTTTTCAGACAGAGAGAAAAAGCACGCCTTGAAAAACAAAACAGTACTTTTCTCCCTTCGTAACACCAAGCGCGTCGTGATCGGAGCCCTTGGCACTAACGCGTCTGGAAAGAGAGCAAAGAGATCTAAAACTAATTTCTGCTTAGAATTGGAAAATGTGTGATTTCTAGCTTGCTGCTGAATGCAGAAACTAAATGCCAGACTTCGTGTAGGGTGTTGTAGGGATGGTGACCTGGGAGTTGTTTCGTTGAGCAATTCAAGATTAAAAAAAAAAGTCAGTTTCAGCAGTGTTAGCGTACTTCTTAATTATAAATCTGGAGCTTCTATTTTGGCTACTTGAAGACTGGACATTACATTATGGACTTAGTATTTTAGATCTGTGTTCAAAACTTCTCAAAATTGTTTAGTCTCATGCCGTTTAACTGAAAACACTTGAAGAGATCTGACTGTACTTTCAGACAGAATAGTATTCTGTCCAGCAGGGAGCTGGGAAGAGCTTTAGCCATAACACTGTTAGGGTCTTGGTTTCATTCTTCTGTGTCCCTTTCGTGCTCTCCCAAGCCAGAAATTCTACTGCTATCTTTGCCTTTCTCTTCTTTTACTCCAATCTATGACCAAGTTCCATAATTCCTTTCCTCAAAATATCTCTCAGGTTCACGCTTCCTCGTCTATTTCCCAGGCGTCTTTATCATTCTCGTCTTTATCAGCTTCCTGTCCTAGGCAATCTTCCTGTCTGAAACCATTCCCTCCTCATTTCATCCTAATCTTCAAAACCTCATTCTTGTCACTGCCTTTTCTTCCTGATGAGTCGGCTACAGGAGCTCCTCTGGCTTCAAACACTTCCACCTGCCAATGCAACCAACTACAAGCGTGCATTTCACTGTTTCCAATTTCAGTCTTGAGTAAACTCCACTTTGCCCACCCAAAACCATGAACGTTCTTAAGTATAAGCCTGTATACTTTGTGGTCCAGGGTTTCCCAGCAGGTCTTTTGTAGAATAGCATTTCTATAAAATGCCCCTTAAGACTGAAGTTCAAGGGTTCAATACGAGTAGGAAATGAGGCACAGTGGTATATTAAGGGCTGTGCAACTTTTTAAAACTTCAACCTGCTTTCCAAACTTCTTGTTGACAGAATGTTTATTTCTTTGCTTATTTATTTTGAGGAGCACTTGTTGTCATTCTTCAGAACAAGGGTTTCTGAAGTATCTACCTCGGGAAATCCTGACTGACTGAATTATTATTATCAAAGGTGAGCCTTTAAATTTTCCCCCCTCACCTTCAAATCCAACTTATCTTGCAGAGGTCAGCTCAGCTTTATCTACTACCTACCTGCTTGTAATTCCTAAATCTTGAGTCCTTATCTGTCTCCAGAAACCCAACGAATGTTCTCCACTCCTGTGTCTAGTTACAAGTTTTAGGAATGTCATACTCCCAAAGCCCAAATTTCATCTTCAACCTCGAATCTGCTCCTCTTCCTGGGTCCCCGATCTCATCGTAAACTCAAACCAGAGACTACTGAGTGGACTGCGAACAGCCCCCCCATCCCACACTCCTAAATACATGCGTTGACAGGAAGTAGGGACTAGCAGACAGAAAAGCTGACTTCCTGGTCTCCTCACTGCCTCCACCCCCACTTCTATTAATACTTGTTTTACCTATCATCTTTTGCTTTTTCTTATAGTTTTCACATTTTATAACTTGTATGACTTTTTGGGTGATCATTGGCTTAATGTCTGTCTTCCACTATGCTGCACATTCCTTAAGAGCATGAACCATTTTTATTTTGCCCACTGCTGTATCCCCAGTGCCTAGAACAGCAGACATATAGGCACAGGGTAAAGATCTATTGTCTAAAAATTAAATGGCAAAAACTATTATGTTGTTTTTTAGAAATATCAAAGTGATAGATGTTATATAAAACTGTGGGGACTTCCCTGGCTGCCCAGGGGTTAAGACTTTGCCTTTCAATGCAGGGGGTGTGGGTTTGATCCCCAGTCAGGGAGGTAAGATCCCACATGCTGTGGGGCCAAAAAACCCAAACATAAGACAGAAGCAATACTGTAACAAATTCAGTAAAGACTTTAAAAATAGTCCACAATAAAAAAAAAAAAAATCTTTAAAAAAGTTTGAAAAAAAAATACTGTGATAGCTTTCCCCACCAAATTTTCATTTAGCAGCTCATAAGTAGAACTTTAGAAAGATAAACCTATACTTTATTAATGATTATATTCTTATATCACATCTGCACGGAAGGCAGTATGACAGAAAGAGAAGAACGTGGGGTATGGATTCAGGGGATCCTAGATTTCATTGCAGACCTGCTATTTAGTAGCCCTGAGAAATTAACTTCTTCAAATCTGATTTTTCTCCGAGTTTGACTTTTCATTTATAAAATGGTGATAGCACCTACTCTTGAGGTTGCTGCAGGATTATATAAAATAACATATGTACAATATTCAGTTCAGTTAAGCTTTGCATTTAAAGTAGAAGCTCAATAAATCTCAGTTTTTATCCCTTTCTTGGTTGACTTATAGGAAAAGAACTTACAAAATATACCTGTCTTAGTGGCTCAGAGTCTACTGATCAAGGTTATTTGAAGATCTTACTACAGTCTTCCTGATAGAAAAATAAAACTGAACTATGGAGTCTCCACTGATTATTCTTTGGAAAATACAGCATTTAGATATTTACCAGCTGACACCAGCTAGTCAAAATCTACTAAGCTTCAACTTGGATAATTTTTCTTTGTAATATCTGCCAGTCTCGCCTTCTATTTTATGTTTATTGATTGCCTTACTAAAAAGTACTTCAAATAAAATTCAGCTAGTGTTTTCATATTTGATTATCATACTACTTTAGAAACTTTTTAAATTCTGGTTCATTCAGATGAGTCATGATTAGTATTAGGGATGAGCTAAATAAAGACTCTCTTTTGGAATGGATAAAAATCATCACTATTAATTATACAGATTTATACAAGATGTCTTTTAATAATTCTCTTAGATGTAGTTTAGTTATGCAGACGTACTTGCACATTGGTATTTGTTTAGTGAAACAGGTTACAGAGGCATTCAGTGCAGAAGGCACTGACCCAAAATACTTTCATATATCTAAAACCACTTTTAATCAGACTTTCATGACCACAAACTGTAGGTGGAATGTCTCAATACAGTATGGTTTCTGTTGTACTCAAACCTCAGAATTTAGCACGTTACAACACTCACCATCAAAGTACATTTCGGCACAAAAATATCATTAAAGCCACTATTTGTGTTTACTTTTAGGTACTCCTCAACATTTGTGTAACCAAATAGGCTGCTGGATAATGCATACTTATTTAATAATACCTGTCAAAAAAGTCAGTGCATATAGCTCCTTTTCATTAAAACTGCAGACTGAAATGATGATAACCGTACTAAAGCATTTAAGAAAATACCTTCAAAATCTACTCTTAATTGTGCTAAATTTAATTCTGTCTTATGTTCATATTCTTCATAGCATACTCAAAATGTATTTTATAATGCTTTTTCTCATTGTTCACAGTTAGATAAAATTGTTTTTGAGCATTAAGCTTTCTTAAGAGAACTGGGATATTACTCTTCATTTAAAATATGCCACTCAATGACAAAGATTGCAATTCAGAGCTTTTACACTAAAATATAATAATGTATTGTAATGATTACATTTTTCATAACTTGAGAATAGTTTGTAATGGGGACAAGTCCATTTCTACTTCAATAACATATTCGAACCTTAGGTGACATGGAAAACTGTTTTTACAGTAGTTAGGCAAAGAGATTCTCTTTTTCAGTGTTACATCAATCAAGGTGTACCGAGAAGAGAATAAAACCAATACTGTTTAAGTGGGCACTACAATTTACATTCACTTTTCAAAATCAAAGAGACATCACATGTAACATACACATGGGAAGCAAGACAACTCTGTAAACATTGAGCATTTTATGTTTCTTTCTCTTTACCTCTTGAAACAGCCCCAAATGTAATAATGATGATGTTTTATTAAAACATTTCAGTATTAAGTTGTTTATTAGCCTCGGGTTTTAAATCCTAGCATAAGGGCAGGGATCACACATCTCATGCTGATAATTACTCTAGAACTTATTAGGTATGAATCAGGGCTTGGAATTAGAATTTTAAATTGAGAAAAGGCACATTCATTAATTATAGAACTTTTGACAAACCTTCATTATGAGACATATTCTAATATTACAGAGTTGACTGGTTGTCTGAGTTTGCCTCTCCCTGAAGACACCATGTCTGGCCTCACAAAGACTGACCAATAGATCCTCAATCAATGAATGGATTTTGGAACGGTGTTTTAAACTCTGAATGTCTTAATAAAATTTTCCACTAGAAGTAGATACTTTTTAAAACTTGTGTTTTTGATATATTATTTTTTCCTGAAGTAAGAAGAAAATAATTCAAAAAGCTCAGAAAAAAGTGAACTTTATTCCTTGCCCTGATGACTCACCATGAAAGACAGACAAGTGTGAAGGTAAAAACTAAATTTTACAATCACAGGAAACAGAAGTAAAGGGGGAGGATCTAAGAGTTCAAATGACTGCATTCAACTGAGCAAAAATTTACTGAACTTTCTAATGAGTTCAGATTTTTAAAGAACATATATTTGGCAAAGCATTTGATGAAATCCTCATCATAATATTATAGATTTGAGATTAGCTGGTAGCAATTTAGATGATTTAAATATTAATTAATTAACCAGTGTTAAGTTTAGACAGTCTCTTGCAATGGCCCAAGGAGTTGAGTAACTTTCCTGTCCGAGGCACCATTTTTATCACTGGTGTAGAGGAAGATGTAGCCGCCGTGTTTATCAAATCTGCATACAAGACAAGTCTGGGTAATAACCCAATACATGGTAGAGTCTCGATCCATATATAGCTTCCTCTACATACTGGAAAGCTGGGTCACAAATAAGATAACAGAGGTAATGTTA